TAGATCCCTGGGCGGGACTCGGAAAGAAATGTGTAAATGCCAGAAATCAAAAAAAATAAAAATAATTATTGTTAATGCTTCATCTAAGATAAAACTAGTATCATGAATAGTATTTGTGGGAAAAAATAAATCAAACTGCAAGATTGAATTATAAAATGAAGTAATGTCTTTGAAAGGTTTAAATTAAGTTTACACTTTTACAAACATTCCATTCTACAAATAGAGACAGAAAATTGTCATGGTCTGTCTGTCTCACCTCAGATAGCACAAGCAGCTTCAATCTATGGAGAACTTGAACAAGAACTGCATGTATGCCATTCCTTGCAGTTGTGGCAAAAGAATATAAAAGTGAAGCAAGCTCCATATATATATATATATATATATATATATATATATATATATATATAAAAATTAGCTGACTGATATTAAGTGACAAATTATATATATATTGTTATGGGACCTTACCCATAATAACATAATTCATACATTATATACATAATAAATACTGTGCCTCAAGAGGAAGCAGGGAGTTCAGTCTGAAGTCGGGCGACTGGCTGACCGACTGAACTCTCTGCCTTCGGACGGGGGAGGAACCCGAATGAGGCTACACCAAAGGCCAGAGTCTCTTTTGGGGAGGTAAACTGACCCTGAACCCATTTATATGGGTTCAAAGGGCATATTTTTGGCCAAGCCCACGGGCTCGGAGATCCCACGTTAAACCGGCCTTGTGCCACATGACGTCCTCGTGGGGGGTGACTAAATATTGTTCAGTCTGAAGTCTGGAGTGAGGTCCGTCAGGAGTCTGTCAGTCAGTAAGAGCGAGCGAGTCAGTCAGTCGAATCAGAGGCAGACCGAAACAGAGTTGCGTTCAGACAATTACTACTAAACCTGATTGTTCGTGCTAACACTTTCTACTTCTCTGTATATATTCCTGTTTGTAATATATCTGTGTTATTCCATATACATGTTCAAGTTCTTCTTTATTGGTTCCACCTTGGACTATCCCCATGGTACAAGGAACTGGACCATAACATATATATATATATATATATATATATATATATATATATATATATATATATATAATTATTGCTTGTAATATTTGTAATTTTTTCATGCAATTAAAGTTGTATAGTATTTTTGCATGTTGGCTTGAGTAAGTTTTTCTGTTTTAGTAAGATTAATGTTTATGGTACTGCTATTGGATGTGGCATGTTAGTCAGTGTGATAGAGTTGTAGTTGTCTAACAAATGCATTTTGGAGTAGTTGTAACAGTGTTGAAGATACAATTTAATGGAATGACAATTCATAAACTACAGGGTGCCCCACAAAAAACAGGAAATTTTAGATTTACTATATGATGAAAAAATTATCATTAAAAAAGTTAACTATATATTTTACTCTATGAATGAATGTAAAATAAATTAACTATATATATAAAAATATATATAACTATATATAGATAAAAATTAACTGTATATTTTACTATATGAATGAATGAAAAAATTAACTAACATAAATTTTTAACCATTTGTTGTTCCAGGATACTGCAACTATCAAATTTTCAATGTGACGTGATTGTTCTCTTTAAGAAAGAACATCCAATTTGGGAAGTGAAAAAATGCCAAGAGATTTTGCCAGAATTCTTTAGTTTGAACACCACATATAACGTGTGTTGTTGTTGTTCTGTTTTATGCTACTAGATTTCTATCTTTTGTTTTTGTTTCAAGTAACAACAACAAAAATTCCACAGTTAAGTAAACTGTACAAAATTTCCTGATTTTTTTGTGGGACACCGTGTATATTGGTTTTATTACGACTGGATTTTAAGGTTTGTATTATTGATGGCAATAAAAACTTGAAGGTTTTAATTCTTTTTTTTAGATGTACTTAAGTGTAAATGTTTATTTTTATCAGTGGGTAATGTATATCCATCTACAAAAATTCTGTTAGAATAAGTTAATTATATTATTCTTGTTATGATTTGTCACACACATTTTTGTGGGTTATTTTAATTTGTTGATCAATTAAATAATTTGAAAATCCTTTGTTAATGTAGTCAGTTTCTTCTTGCTTGAAATAAAGTTCCCTAATTTGTTTCTTTCACCAGTGTAGCAGAAGTCAACAAATCCAACACATGTCTTCTGTTTGCTACCACAGTCACACTTTTTATAAATGGAGGGACCGGTCAAATTTGCATAGATGCAAAAAAGAGTCCCACATAATTATCCAACTCTGAGATCTATCTTCTCTTAAATATACAACTCGTAAAGCCGCCATTTTCTTTTTGGGATACTTTACACGCATGACATGCCCGAATCTGTTTTCTGCCAGGAGTTAAGACATTTTCTCTTGTGTTACAGTTAATTTGTATTTGTTGAAGTTTAAGTTCCTTATAGAACTTCAGCTATCATATTGACACTTATCTGACAGCAGATCTAGAAAAGTGCTTCTTAACTTGGGTTCCATAGACACCTAGGGGGTTCATGGATGGGTTTCAGGAGGTCCATGAGGATAAGATAAAAATTAAGATTTATATTCACTGTACAGGCCTTGTCTCAATCAATGATTTCCCACTGAAAGAAATAAATGAAAATGCATCAAGCCACTACTTACAGTTCAGACTGCTAGACATTTCTTGATTTGCTGTTGGGTCCATGCTTACCATTTACCATGTGTGTCGCCATTCTCTGCACAGCTGCTTTCTTGTGCCACTCCATAAGAGCAAGTGATAATTCTCATTTTTCCACGGTTTATCACAGCTTGACTATATTCTCATTTACTGGTGAGGATTAACTGACCACAATTTCTTTCAATTGTGACTGGCTAAAAAGTGATGTGTTCACAGTATGCAGTATGGAGAAATGGACATACAAGTGTTGTGAAAAAGCAATCAGACTGAGTATCTGCTTGTCTGTCTATGAAGGGCTAGTTCTTATAGGCATCTGTTATTCAAGGAGTCCATGACCCCCAAAACAGGTTAAGAACCACTGGTCTGAAAACACCCATCACCCATATTACTAATCAACACTATAAATAAACAAATAAGATAAAAATAAATGAAAAAATCTCCCAACAAATGAGATATTTGCAAAATATGAAATAATACAACATTAACTAGATAAAAAGTTACAAATATTAGGTGCAATAAAATCCAAACTACGATTTAAAAAAAAGTATATCACTCAATCTAGGAAACATTATTTTAAATATTTTTACACCCAGAATTATTACAAATGTGAAATTGTTCTATTTAATGTTTAAAAAAATTCAGACTCAAAATATGACACGACATTTTGTAACACTAAATAATTTGATATATAATTCCAATAAATAATTCAATTCAATAAATAATTCCGACAAATAATTCAATACTAAAACATGATAGAAACTATCAAATAAGACACCAGAGAAAGCAAAGCTATAAACCCCCCACCCCATTGAAAACATCATCAGCCGGTGAAGGGATGGTCAAAATGGTTAAAAATATTTGGAGAAATGATATCAAAGAAATAGATTTATCATCTCAAATCATTGATCAAAATAATTATCAGAAAACAAAACTAATCTAAAAAAAAAAAAAAAAAAAACTTTCAGTCTTTAATAAAAGTATATATTTTTGGATTTAGTTTGCTTTATGGCAGGCACCTCTAGTGAAGAAAGCATTCTGCGGTTAATGCTGACAAGATAATCATCATTTTACAAGAGGATGGGGGTGGCTCATTGATGCCTATATATATTTTAATACTTGTGATAAGAAGTGTTGGTTTTACAAGCCATTTATAGCAATTTCAATGACCTTGTTAAACTTGTTAAGCAATTATACATAACACCTCCCCTACAAAACAAATAAAAATAAAAATTTTGAAAAATAAGATGAAATGTTCCATTCAGTATTTCCTGATCTACTTACTGATTACAGCAAAAATTATGTTACTTCTAATTCTCTTAGAAGGGAGTTTTGCTTTTGAAAAGGCAAAGTCAAAATGAATGATACAATGAAACAGGATCTTATTTAAAAGTCCTCAACATCAAACCATACATATATAATACAAATCCATTGTCTGTCATTGACAGACACTGCTGTATAGCCTCCTCCCTCAAAAAATCTCATGATGTGATTCATTAAAACTTGATTTCCTGAGTTTTGGATAACTTTCCAACAGAGATTTTCAAAACTTTAATCTATATTGGGGAAAAAATTAAAAATAGTTTGTGCGGAAGGAATTACTACTTGTCACCTCCACCTCCTTGATGTATTAGACTCCCACACCCAAGATGTTCTTCATTATATGATTCATAAAGATAGCCTTGTGTTCACTGTCTCCCACCATTTACATCATTAACTTGACCATTTATGGATTTTTGGGGGTGCTATCCCAAAGAACTAGTAACCAAGAGTTTAGAAATTCTATTCCAGAAGCTCAACTTCGAATTGAATGCTTACCAAAAACATATTAAACTATCAGTTACTGACAATTGAGGTCTGATAACTCAAGGTTCTCAAAAGATCTCATGCACCCATTATCATTATCTTATACAGCTAGCAGGCTTTTAATGAAACTTTTACAGATTTCTTGCATAGACACATTTCTCCACTTACAAAGCTACGTTTGTGGCTACATTAATCCTTGGAAGATTTACCCTTAATCATTTAGTTTTTCCTTTTCTGTTTTCAATCGAGTCCCTTCTTGACCTATTGATCTTTATTGCGGGTGATTGATTCATTTTTTACACCTTATCAACCTTTTGTAGGTTATTTAAAGCCAGAAAATATTTTTAGATTGTAAGAATTTGCTATTTTTTAGATAGATAATAATGAATTAGTGAAACAAGTCTTACTAATTAACCCATAGTCAGAGGAAAGAAAAGGTGGGTTCATGCCTTTCCCATGGGTATTTGTGCATAAGTGAATATAACAAACACAAGTGGAATTGGAACTTGCACCCCCAATTAACAATTCCGAGTCATTGTTCATTAAACCATCTGCACATCCAAACTTACAGCACCTGATATTCCCAAGTGGTTACCCATCTAGGTACTGACCAGACTTGACATTGCTTAACTTCAGTGATCATACGGGAGCTGGTGTTTGAACGTAAAATGGCTGTAAGCTGTTTAAACCATCTGCACATCCAAATTTAAAGCACTTGGTATTCCCAAGTGGTCACTCATCTAGGTACTGAACAGACTCAACATTGCTTAACTTTGGTGATCGTACAGGAACCAGTGTTTCGACGTGATGTAGCCATAAGCCCCCTTATTGCAAGCGAGACACTTAACCAGATAGTTGACTAGAGAAATAATGTCTTCATAACAAAGCAAAATATTTATGGCTTAAAAAGTTATATACTTGAAAAATCCTCATTACCTATGTGGTATTAATATTTATTAAGTTTAGTCTTGTCATACAAGTTCACAACAAAAGGATATCAAGTGAAAACTGAACTCAATAGCAATGGATTGCTAAACTGAACTATTAATCAATGCTTTATAGCAAACACATTTAACATGATTACTGGATCCCTCCATTGCACTAAGACATTCTAAATATTTTTAACCATATTTTTTTGACAAATTTCCTTGATATATCAAAAGTGCAGATCCTGCATAAAAATTTTACATTTTCTGTTTTTAGCATGAAATAGTAAAAAATGTTTCTTATTTTTTAATGTAAATATATTCAGTTCATAGAAAAAACTGATTACACCATGCCAATTTACATATCATCATAAGCGTGTCTTCATTCTTTGTAATGCTGATGCTGACATTTCTTTAAAGAACAAGATTGTAAAATGAATATGGTCACAATTATTCAATCAATTCCAGCAAAAATGTAAGAGACAGATGATAGCATTTTCTGCATCTATTTCTGTAGCAAAAAAAAAAACTCCAGCCCTCTTTGCTTATAGATTGTACACTTGAAGAAGGCTGTAGAATGGGTTGGCTGAAAGGTTTCAGTAGCATCATTAGTAACACAAAAAATGAGTTTGAACATATTTAGGAATGTTAATTAGTTTTTTGTTTTTTTTTAAATTAGAGACAATGCATATACTTTGATATTATCAAAGAAATGTGCTAATCCCCAGAATATTTTCTTTGAATTCTCCATGAGGTTATCTCTTAAATAAATGAAAACAATAACATTCCAGTAAATGGCAATCTTCTGAAGATGCAGTGGCCTGTTTTCTAAACAATAAATCGAAAATTTTGTTGTCACTGAGAGGACTACCTGATTGAATTAAATATAATTTTTCTTTAACAATTCTTAATAAAGAAAAAAAAGTATATTTTATTCAATTATATATATTTACCATTATTTGCAAAGACTTATTCCCACTTAAAAAGTATCAAAGAGCTGCTTGAGGAGTAAAATTCCTTGTTTTGAAGTAAAAAAGATTTCAACAAACTCTTGAACCTGGTTTTCTGCATAGAAAATGTTCCTTCTCAAAGTATTTTGTAACAATTGAAAAAATTAGTGATAATTAGTTAGTGCAAGGGCAGATGAATGTGGCAGGTGGCGTAGTATAAACCAATTGAATGCCAAAACTTTTTCTTGTCTTATTGCTATTCCTATCAACAATCGCAGGTCACTTTTTGGCAAAACATGTATGGACCTGTTGCGTCTACCAGATATAGAAATGTTCATTTAGGGTTTCATTGTATTTTAAGAACTATAAAAGACTAATTCCCACAACTAAATGAAAATCATACAACTTACACATTAATTTTCTTCCATGGACGGCAGTTTTTTGGGTCAGGTGTGGAGTTCTATCTTTGTCCAACTTCTGAGTACCATATTTTATTCTTACTGTATGTGGCAATGAATTGTCAGGGAGTAGAATAGTTTTCTGTTAATCCACTATGTTAGTGTAGTTAAATTTATTCTTAATTATCACGGAGGATTAGGACATAGGATGATACATCCATCATTAAAATTGGTTCCCAAAAATCAGAAAATACAAGCCTACCTAATATGAACGTAATAATCAACCACATTTGGTTCCTTCTAGATTAACTGGAAGGTATCCTCTTCTCAACATAATTAAAACACTGAGGGATTGAATTTTGATATAAAATATCCTGTGTATAAATTCAGTGAAAACAGGGTGAATAATGAGAAATGGGTGAGCAATACTAAAATAAGAAAAAGGCAGTACTAAAATAAGAAAAAGAAAAGAAATGACTGAGACATGGAATAGCAATAACCAGGGTGTACTAAATTAAGAACAAGAGATATCAACTAGATACAAGACAATAATAGAGCAGTACTGAAAGAATAAATAAAAGAGACATTGACTAGACATTGGAGAGCAATAACCGGGTAGTACTAAATTAAGAACTAAAAGAGACATCGACTAGACATGGGAGACAATAACCGGGTAGTACTAAATTAAGAACTAAAAGAGACATCGACTAGACATGGGAGAGTAATAACCGGGTAGTACTAAATTAAGAACTAAAAGAGACATCGACTAGACATGGGAGAGTAATAACCAGGCAGTACTAAAAGAATAACTAGAAGAGACAACAAGAAATGTGGGAGAGCAGTACTAAAATAAGAACAAGATGAGGCATCACCTAGACATGGGAGAGCAAGTATAACATCTAACCAGTATAACACCTTTCGATGTTGCCTACATCTGGTGGTTTAACCACGTTTAGTGCTCAGTCTTTAGGTTCTTAGAATTATATTATAACCATGGACTGGTCAACACTGACACTGCTCCAAGCTGCTTGTTAATCACTGTTCCACACCAACTCTGCCCACACTGTGTTCTTGATCTCAGGGTAGTGAGAAATCAAAGGTCATAGTCTCACAGCACTGGTTCAAGCAGTGGAGGGCTTTATAAAGAAAAAAAAAATTTCATGATGAAAAATAAAACAAGAGATTGATGGGGTTAATCTTCAACTGGTTTATATAGCTCTTAATACAAAACAATTAACCCTTCCTGCATTAATCTCGATAGTGACACTGGGCATTGTCTAATCTTCTGAAGGGCTAGGTTCAATGTCTTGGAATCAGGAAATCTGCTGGCAGCTGATGTGGATTTCAGAGGCACTCAATGCAGGATCTCTGCCCAAAGGTTGAAAGCTTCCTAAACTCATCTGCTTATATGCACTTCAGCTCAAAACTGGCATGGTATGAAGGGTTCTGGGAACTCGGTGATTCCCCAATTTTCCAATAATGGCTTTTTTTGTTTCCTATATCTGGTTTCTTAATTTTCAAAATTTAGAGAATTATCCACCTTTCTTGGGAGTAATCACAGAGATTGCTCTTCCCTTAAATCCAACCTGCTTCACATCACTCAACTACTCTGCACAGGCAGAGCTAAATTCTGTTCCTTCCTTCTCAGTATTCTAACTCTGCCCACTTCTCAGAGCTGGCATAGCTGTCTTTGTGACAAATCTCATTTTTAAAATGCATTGGAGAAAGGGTATGGTTTATTCTCGTTAATTTCAATCCTCTGGCTCTTTTCCTGGATCCACCTGTCCAGTGAAAACATAAGCCAGATCAGCTGCCTATTATGATGGATCAATTTTCATAATCCTAACCTTTGCGGTGGGTTCATTGTGTTTTCATTTCTCAATTTGTTTTCACTAACAAAAATATAATTCCCATCTGCTTCTCTTTACACCAATATGTGTTTTCCTAATTTCCCAAGAAAGAGATAAAGCCATTTCCCAATTTGCTTTACCTGCATGCCAGATTTTTGATAGATAAAAAAAGTAAACTCTTGGTGCATCGTTCCAATTTGTAGGGGTGAGACAACCCAGATGGTCCTTTCTTCACTTCCACATTAACCCGGGAAAATGTCTTCCATTCTCTCTTTTTATCTATCTTCCAGTTTATATTTCATTTTGGGCTTAACCCTTGTTCTGCTTAAAATTAATGATTAACCACCTCACAGGTGTCACAGCAGTACTAATAAGAACTAAAAGAGACATTGCACTCCCATGTCCAGGTAATAACTGGGCAGTGCTAAAATAAGTACTAGAAGAGACATTAAATTGACACCGGAGAGCAATAACTGGGCAGTAATAAAATAAGTCATTGACAGTGGAATGAGAACATTTTATGTTCTTAGACTTAAACAGGTTAAGATTATAGTGATTGGGGCTGCATCCTCCTGGGGCTCAGTTCCACAGATCATTGATCTGAAGATGCTGCTTGAGTGGAACTGACATCATGCCAATTGAATACAAAAGGTATGAATGTGGTTTACTATGTTTGTGGTATTGCAGGTCTTAGACATGAAGGATTGTGCTGGTGGAACTAATGAATACCTGATGAAATCTGCAGAGCACAACTGATATGTTGTGATAATAACAAAAATGTGGATAATAGTTCATATTTAGATAAGAATATATTATTGTCATTATTTCAAGTATAAAATATAGAGAGAGAAATTCAAAATTATAAAGTTTAGAAAACATTGAAAAACCACAATGAATTCATAATTGTAAATACAAAATGATAAATTATCTTAGTGGTAACTTGCTGGATGATTAGGGGTTGGGGGTTTCAAGCAAAGTTAAGTCTACACAAAGGAAAATTGTTTTTAACAATCCTGCTCCTAGTGATACAAATAATGCTTTCTTTTAGAGAATTTATTAAATAGTAGCAATATTATTTTTATTTGATGAAACATTGCCAACCATTATTTAAAGTAAAATTAAGAGCACAGTAAATACTAGTCCAAATAAATAATATTAATAAATTTTTGTAAAAAGCAAGCAAGAAAAAATAAATCAAAATTTTTGTTTGATATACTGGGTATGATTGATAAATTGCCATCTAAATTACACAAAAATGAAGATAACACTGACATCTCATTTTAACAGATATATTTACTAAAATTACATGAAAAATATCTTGAAATCCTAGAGTGAATTTATTCAATAAAATCACCATTGGCTTCAACCATGACCTCCAGACAATTTCGGATTTTTTTCCAACTCTTCTGGACAGTTTCTTTGTTTATGTTGGTGAATGCTGCCATAATCCTTATTTTCAGTTCATCTTTCCTGTTACAAGGAGTTTTGTTGGTCTCTTGCTCAACTACACCCCACATATAATAATCAAGAGTGTTGCAGT